AAAAAAAAATCATAAACTATTTATGATATAATTATGATACCTGAGGCATTGAACACACAACGGAGCCGATCCAAGCAAAGCTTAGCATGATCTTCCCTCTTCTGTCAACGTCCCACAATTGCAGTGGCTTTATTATTGCGTAATATCTGAAATTGAAAGGTTTAACATTTAATAGTTAAATAAAAATTGAAAAAGTAAAATCTATCATTGAAAACATATGAAAGATGAAATTACCGACCTGTCCATACTTATGCATACCAGGATGAAAGATGATAAGTACAGGCCGAACATCCTGAAGAAAGCCATTATTCGGCACATGGCGTCTCCTGCTCTCCAGGAGACGGTGGCTGCCCAACCAATCTCGAGTGGCATCATTAAGAAAGTTACCTGCAAATCATCTCGTTAATAATCTTATACAATGGGATCAATTTCTATACATACACATTAAGTTTTGTAATAAATGTAATTTGTCTGTTAATTTAGTTAGTTTAGAGTCATACCGATATATTTAATATACGTATAAACAAATTGCACATAAATTACACGTAAATATGTTGTCTTGCTTTTATTTTGTACTGCATACTTACAAGTAGATCAGCGATCGCAAGATGCATTAACATCGTATGTATCCTCGATTTGGATACACGTTTGCGGCGCATAATTAATACTAATATCGTGGTGTTTCCGATTGCAGATATTATCATTAACACGCTGTAGAAGACAATACTAACAACGTGGCCTTCGTTGAAGCGCATATCAATCGGTAATTCTATTTCATTCGAAATATTCGCCCGCGGATTGAGCAAGCCCGTAGTAGAGCCGGGCATTTTTATCCTGCTGCCCATTATTTGTCTCGAAATGAGTAGATATTCTGTTAGCAAACGGATTGATTATGAGTACCTGTTAATTAAATTCAAATAAAATAGAATCACCGGGAAACTGAGTGCGAGCAGTTGTTATTGTATATATACGTAAACGCATACATATAATATAATATAATGAATTAATGCCAAGTTACAGAGAAATGATAATTTTATATAAATTGAAGTGAGAAATGATAATTTTATATAAATTGAAGTGAGAATTTATCTGAATAAATAGTATAATTGAATTTACAAATGAAATGTATTCTACGCTTGATAGACATTAAAATTAAAATGCAACGTCGTAATTTCGGAAGAAATTCTGCCATAGCTTTTAACAAGAGAGAAAAGAGATAGAACTGAAAGGAAAGAAACAGAAATTTCCACGAAAATATAAAACGAAAATACAATCTCTAAAACCGAAGGAAATATCGAAGTTAACGAAGAAGAAATACAAGAACAGACAAAAAAGTGGCCAATTAACATCTCGAGACTTAATGTCGTCTTTTTATCCAGCGCTTTTTCAGTTAATTTGCACTGTCGTATCATCAGTACACGGATGTAGAAAAAAATAATGGAAAAAAAGTCGAATAACGAGAGATACATTGTATTATCACTTGTCACGTGTAAAAAGCGTGTACCATTAATTTTTGCACTATGGGTTACAAATACACATGTATGTATGTATGTGTGTGTGTGTATGTACACACACACATACACGCGCGCGCGCGTTGATATATATATTATATCGTTCATATATATATGTTATATGTATATATATAT